TCAGAAAGACTCAAAAGGAAATATGAGTTGTCTTGCCTCCTGTATTGCCGGGGCATTGACATGCACTGGCTCTTCCCATAGAACCTTGCACAAGAGCAGAGTCAGGGTTTCAGTGACCTCTTCTCCATGTCAGCTTTTGCATGTTCTCCCAGTGTCACATACCTGTGGGCACCTGTGAGGAACAGCTAATGGTTTCTGTCTCACATTTTTAGCTCACAGGCTAAAAAAGACCTAGCCAGGATCAAACTGTATCCAGTACCTACACAGCTTCAACTCAAGACTATGTCTCATCACAAAAAGCAGCTTTCCCTTAGTCACTCCCTTCCTTGCATTTTTACCACTGTCTCCCTCTGTGACTAATATACATACCAGCATAGAGGGAGGAGATCTCAGGAAACTTTCCCTTTACTCATTTGCTGCTTGTGTCAGCCCATGAAAGCACCAGTGCTCAGGGAGGTTCCTTATCCTCTTACATCTTTCTGGGGCTACATCTGGCTGCAGAGCAGCTGAATGCTGAAGAGGAAAGCAAGCTCCACATATTGCCAGTTTGCACTGTGCTGTCCCAAGGTGTGCATAAGACAAAGGCCTGGAGATCCCACACTAGAGCCAGAGCTCCTTTGCCATGGGATATAGAATCACAGAATCATTAGCATTGGGAAAAACATTTAAGATCAACCAGTCCAACTGCCAATCCATACCCACTATGCACACTGACCACATCCCTCAGTGCCACATCTACACGGTTCTGGAACATCTCCAGGGATGGTGACTCCACCACTTCCCTGGGCAGCCTGTGCCACTGCAGCACCACTTTTTCACGGAAGAAATGTTTTCTAACATTCAACATGAACTCCCCTGGCACAACTTGAGACCGTTACCTCTCATCCTACCTCTTATAGGGCTGGAGACACTCCTTATTTTCAGGCATTTGATATTTTCCTGTAATGTTGTCTTTTTTTTTTTTTTTTTCCACACATGACATAATGCCCATAACACACAACAGTACTCTCTCCCATCCTCCACCCTCCAGCAAATGCTGCCTACAGAAGCCGTGGTGTACTGATCTGCCCCTTAGTATTGACATAAGCAGGTATGTGCAACGGGACAGCAAAGGCAACAAGAGCATAGAACAGATTCAAGTGGTGATCTGGGACTTTGCTCACAGTAAAAATCACAGATTCATCAACTCAACATTTGAGTTGGAAGGAACCTTAAAGACCCCTAGTCCAACTCCCCTGCAATGAACAAAGACACCCACACTTAGATCAGGTGCTCAGAGCCCCTCCAGCCTGACCTTGTGTGCCTCTAGGGCTGAGGTATCCACCACCTCTCTGGGCAACCTGTGCCAGTGCCACACCATCCTGACTGTAAAAAACTTTTTCCATATAAATATAGGTGCAGAACTCTGTTGTAATGTAGATGCTTGGAAAAATCCCTGTTTTGACCACGAAAGCCCAAGCCTGGATGTCTACCTACAGACAGTGATAGCTTTCAATAGCTGGACGCACAGTCTCTCTGAGAGATATGTTCCAGTGCTCATAACCCTTACTGTATATTGTGTATCTTGCTCTTTAGATTTTCTTTTTCTTTTTCTTTTTAGGAAAACGTATTAAAAATGTACCCCATATCCAATAATTTCATGTTCAGTTCTTTTTCCCTAGTGCAATACCTACTGTCAAGAACACAGAACTATTGAAAGCTATCGCTACTGGGCATCCATATGGCATGGAAACTTGGATGTAAGACTTTGGAGGGAGCAGAATACAGAAGGTGTAGGAGCTGTGCTATATGGCTGTTTCACCAAACATCTCACTAGAGCATTGCAGGAGAGTGCAGGGAAAGGCTTGAAGGCACCCAGAGACGATGTAAACGTGCATTACTGTCCTGGGAGAAAATGTCATTTTGGTGCCTGAAACAGAGGGAGAAATATGTAAAGACAGCATCCAGCTGCAGGTTCTTTTCCCTTCTTTTTCCAGCCTCGGGATGAACTGCAGAGCTGTTTTGGCAGCCCGGCCTGTCCGCTTGTCTCTCCGCGGCTGCCCCCCTCCCCTCCTTCCCTCTCCCTCCCGCAGCTCCGGAGGGTGGAGGTGCGATTCGCTATGCCACTTTTTTATTTCCAGCACGCTTGACAGGCTGGGCGAGGAAGGCGTTAATGTTTTCTGACAGGCCCCCTCTAATTGTTGGAGCTTTTCTTCTCTGCCTTTTCTGTGAAATTCTGACTTAGGCGAGCAGCATAACAAAATGCTCTGGCATTGAAATGTGCGCTTGCACTACACTGGGCCGGGGAAACAGCATTATTCATGAAGATTTTCAGCTGTTTTTGTCTTTTAACTAACCTTTGAGTTTGATCAGAGGCGAGCCGGGCTCCCTTTCTCAAAAGGCGGTCTTGGCAACCCGACAATGGAGCCAAACTGTTTTCCCTGTTCAAGAGATAACTATGCCGTTGAGTTGGTACATGGGGAAATTAATCTTCAGGCGCATACAAATGATAGATTTAACTCGGTCTGCAATCGCCCGCATGGGATTATTAATAGGATGGGGTAAGGAGCAGGAAAAAAATCGGGCTGGGGTGGGCAACGTGAAATTAAAGGGAAAAAAAAAAATCCCAACCCCAACCCCATCATCTCTTTTGAACGCATAAAGCCCGCGATTGATTCCTCACCACTTGCCTTTTAGAGGAGGAATTAGCCCCGCATTGTGCGGGCTGACACGCCAAAAGCGAGCCCGCTCGGGGAGCAAGAAGTTGCGGCTCGCTGGGACCGACCGGGGGTCTGGGGGAGGGCGATGGGGGGGAGGGGGGTGAGATCCTGCGTGCCCCGAGTGGCGGAACCGCCCATGGCCGGAGCGATGCTGCCGGGCAGGTGCTCGCTCTCCTCGTGTGCCCCGGGCCGGGGGAAAGCGGGGCTGCGCGGTGGTGCGGGGCGGGAGCGGGCGGCACCTGCGGCGGGCGCACGCCGCCCCCGAGCCTGTCGGGCTTCCTCCCCCCGCCGGGAGAAAGGCTACGGCGTGACACGCGCGGGGGCAGCGCTGCCCGCTGCCTGCCCGCCCCGGCGGCCCCCCCAGGAGAGAGCATTCAAAAGGCAGGAGCTGCGCGGCGGGAAGGGAAGGGGAGGGGAGAGCGGGGGGGATTGGGGGTAAAAATAAGAGAAAAAATAAAGATAGAAAAAAAAAAAAGGGAAGGGGAGAAAAAAAGGGAAAAAAAAGAAAAGAAAAAAAAGGATAACAAAGTTTTGAAAAAGGCTTGCAGTGCCTTAGGGTCTCTCCGTGATGCGGAGCTGTGGGGGTAGGGATGGAGCTCCCCCCAACTCCTACCTGGAAGTCTGGGGAGCGGGACTGAGGGCGAGCGGCCCGATTTGGGGAGGGGAGAAGCGTTTGTTTGTTAACGGGCCGCTTTTCCAGCGTGACGATAAATACATCCAGAGGTCAATCAATGAATAACACGCGGCCCAGCGACCTCCATCTGCAGCCCCCCCTTCGCTTTGCAGCCCCCCCTTCAACCCGTCCCCCCCCACCCCCCAACTCCGAGCAGCTCCACAACTTCTCCTGCGCCCAAAGAAGTCCCTGATTTATGGAGTTTGCCGATGCTAAGTGAATACTGTCTGTCAGGCAGCGCTGAAAGGCGCTCCGCACTAATACAAGAAAAGGGCTTTGTGTTGCTAAGCGATTAGAGCAGATGTAATGAGATTTACCCCAATCCTGCTTTGCCCTTTCCCTATCTTCAGTAAAATTGTGTGTGTGTGTTTTCTTTCTTTCTTTCTTTCTTTCGGGAGGGGGGCCGAGGGGAGGAGGTGGGGAATTTCGGAGCCGGCCTTACACATTGTAGTGAACAACGGCGTAACTTTGCCTTTAGTTTAATGAGTCTGGATATTTACTATTCAGAAGTGAGCAAAAAAGAACACCTGTCTACACAAGGAAGAGAAATTTCGCCTTTGTAACAGAATGAAACATTATCCTAATGTTATATTCATAGCTATAAATTACCCGCTCCGCTTTCTTTGCATACCTTATCTGCGCACCGGCAAAAGTGGGTAAATAAAAAGGGAGATGCCGCAAAGGATGGAGGCGTATAGCGGTTATTATTTTCATAACTAAACATCAGCTCCTAAACAGGGAGTGCTGCGTTGGAGCAACAAGGGGTGACCCTGGGCTCCCCCCACAGAAATGGCATTGGTCACTTCGGGGTGTGTGGCTGCACGGAGTGCACTTGGAAGGCAATGTGGAGAAGTCACAATACATTGGACATCGGAGCAGGCTGCCCAGGGAAGCGGTCACCATCCCCGGAGGTGTTTATGGAAGGGGTAGATGTGGTACTGAGGGACATAGTTTAGTGGGCAGCAGTGGTGGTAGGTGGACTAGATGATCTTAGAGGACTTTTCCAATCGTAATGACTCTGTCATTGAGATGTCCATATATATCTGCACATCTACACGTGAGGGTGCACAAACACGCAACCCAGCACAGAACCTGGGGTGCTCCACCAAAGTTTTTCCCTCCTCTTTTTAAAGCAACGCATCCCCGCACAGCGAGGCTGGGCGGGTAGCACTGCACATACACACACACACACACACAGTCAAATACACACAAATACACACACATCGTGGCTCTCTTCGCTCTTTGTTGGTTTTGTTTTTTTCTTTTTCTTTTTTTTCTTTTTCTTTTTGGAAGATGCATTTTGCGCTTTGCTTTCCGCTCGGCTTGTTGCACGCCAACTGAATGTGCAATGTTGCTGGAGCTGGGCGCGGAGCAGGAGGAGGATTCTGGTCACGTCCGTGCTCACTGACAACAAGCGGGCCAGCCAAAAAAAGGGGGGGGAAAAAGAAAAAGAGGAGGGGTGTGTGTGTGTGTGTGTGGGGGGGGGGGGGGGGGGGGGGGGGGGGGGGGGGGGGGGGGGTCCAATTTCTTTTTGAATCTTGGTAATTGGGTACTTTTACACGCAGATCACGCTGTTTGGGCAGAATAACAAGTGTAGAAAGCCCGGTGTCTCAGAGCTGCCACCCATTCCTACTACGGTATTTATTTATTTTCTCCCCTTGCACCCTGCCTTCCTCCCCCTCCTCCCTCTGCTCTATGTACGCAGCCAGGCCAGCACAGGGTGCAGCACCCGATTTTGGGGCTTCATCCCTTGGGGGACATGCAGAGGGTGACACAGCATCCATCACCTCTTGGGTTGGGATTGCACAGAAGGGAAAGAAAGCAATAGTGATACCGCTCTATCTTTGCATATTTATATAAAAGACATACACAGTACATCTATCAGATACAAACACTTCATAGATAGCTCAGCTCTGCCACTGGATCCTTCAACATTTCATCCTTACATTCACTGTTGTCAGTGGCAAAACAGAAGTACGTGCAGCAGGCAGCCAAGCGTTTCAATTAAAAAAAGTTTTATTATGAAACTAGTTTGTATAAAACAGGGTTATACAGGGCCTGGTGAGCTTGTCATAGAGCAATACGAAAAAGGCAGTGCCAGCAGGGCCAGTTGTTTCCTTATTTGTAGTATTATCACTTGTTGTTGTTTTTTTTCCCCCAAAAGGCAGCATACAAAAACAGATGGCTGCCCTTCTGCGTTTGGACAATAGCTGCATAAACGTCGTTCCCTCGGAACACGGTTTAATAACGTTATTAATACATTAACAAAGTTTCTATAAAGTAAGACACGTCGGTGCTAAAGTACAGCTGGAGGGAGTCCAAGGCCTCAACAAAAGCACAGACTGAGATGGCAGCGGGAAAGTAACGCCGACCGCACGTCTACACACCGAGAGGTAAAAGCATCGTGTATTAAAAAACGTATCAAGATATACACATTTTAAACCATTTGTACAAAACCTCTATAAATCTCTCTCTCTTATGTACAAAAATAGCTTAATATATCCCCAAACTGGTCAGGGAGGATACAAATAGATTTTCTTATAATAAAAAAAATTCACCAAAATAATTAAAAAAAAAAATTGGAAGCATTTTATGATAAAAATAAAAAAGGTCGGAGGGAGGCAGACTCTGGAACGGGTCGGGAAGGGGGAGGAGGGGGTTCTTTGAGTACAGCATAGCTTCATCTTGACATCTCCACAAACACCGGGAAACGTGGTCCAGAGAGCGCGGAGCGGCCGCACGGAAGAGACAGGCAGCAGGGAAAGGGCTCCTCGGGGCCACCGCGGGGCACAGAACGGGGTTCGGGCCTCCGGACTGAGGGTGGCCGCCCCGCCCGCCCCGCGGGGACGCAGCCGCCCGCCGAGAGCCGTGCCCGCACCGCCCTCCGACGGCAGGGGAGAGGAAAACGCAACAGTTGGTGGTGGGCCGGCGGCGGGGTGCTCTGCGAGCGTGGCTGCGGGAGAGTCGCTTATCTCCCCTTTCGCGAGCGTCCTGAAACGACAAGAGTGAGAGGAGGTCAGAGCCGCGCCGGGGAGAGAACCGACGGGAAAAGAGAGCCGTCGGGGAGCGTCGGAACCCCCTCCCCGGTCGTCCTCGCGCACCCACCTGCCGGGGCCGGCTCAGAACCAGCTGGTGAAGTCGAGCAGCTCCTGCTCCTCGGGGCTGAGCGGGTCGTAGGAACCCTCGTCGGAGGAGTAGGAGGAGACGGGGGAACCCGCCATGGAGTTCATGTCGTGGGAGTAACCGGGCGAGATGGTGGGAGACAGCACGCCGGCCTGGAAGGCGGCGCTGACGGCGTCGTGCTCGTCGAGCAGCTGCTGCAGGGCGCGGATGTACTCGACGGCGGAGCGCAGCGTCTCCACTTTGCTCATCTTCTTGTTGGCCGCGCCGTTGGGGACGTGTTCGCGGAGCGTGGCGAAGCCCAAGTTCACCAGCTTGACGCGGTTGCGCTCCCGCTCGTTGCGCCGCGCTACGGCGGCGGGCTGCTGCTGCGGGAGGCTGTAGCCGAAGCCGCTGAAGTTGAGCCGCCTCTTGCAACGCATCAGCTCCGGCGAGGCCGAGCGCTGCCGCTTGGCGGCCCGCGCCGCGGAGGGCTTCCCGCCGGGAGACGGCCGCCCGCCCGCCGGGCTCAGCTGCGGGAGCGGCGGCGGCGGCGCCCCCGGGGGCGGCCCCGGCGGAGCGGCGGCGGCGGCGGCGGCCACGGCGGCGGCGAAGAAGCAGGCGGGCTGCAGGAAGGGCGGCTGCCCGCTGGCCATCCCGGCGGGGCTGCCGCTGGCCATGGGCGCGGGGGCGTCGTGCGAGGCGGGGGCGCTCCCCGTGGCCCCCCGCCGGAGGTGGAGAGAGAGAGAGAGGAGGGGGGGAGAGAGAGAGGAGCGGCGGCTCCCGCTCGTCACGCGCGGAAGACGGAGAAGGGAGAGCGGCCGCGGAGGGCGGCGGGCGGGCGGGCGGCCGGGAGCGGGGCGGCTCGGGCCCCCCCTCCCTTCGCCCTCCGAGCGGCGGCGGCGGCGGCGGCGGCGGCGGCCGGGAGGCTCGTGGCGCTCGCGTGTGCGCGGGCTGCTTTGCAAAGCCCCTTTTGCAAAACGGCGGCCGGGGATTGTGTCTCTTATAAGGGGCGGACGGGGCTCGCCCCCCCCCCCCCCCCCCCCCCCCCCCCCCCCCCCCCCCCCCCCCCCCCCCCCCCCCCCCCCCCCGTCCCGCCGCCCCCGCCGCACGCGCGCTGCCCGCCGCGCCGCCCCGCCTTCCCCCGCCCCCCCGGGGTCCGCTCCCCCCGCCCCCGCCCCTCCCGGGTTTGTTGTTGCAAGTGCGTGCGCTCGGCGCGTGCCGCGCTCCCGGCCCTGAGCAAACACCCGCGCCGGGGCGCCGGGCCGGGCGGCGGCGGCGGCGGCGGAGGAGGAGGAGGAGGAGAAGAAGGGGGGAGCGGCCCGACGGGGCGGATCGCGGCGCGCATGGGCAGCGCGGGGATGGGGGACGTGGGGTGCACGGGGGGCGCGGTGCTGAGGTGGGGGTGGTTTTGACTTAGCTCCCGGGATGCTCGGTCCCAGTTGTCACTCACAGTGCTGGGGTCCTTCGGGCACCGAGTGCCACAGGACGGCAGCGGCACGCAGAGAGTGAGTGTGTTTCGTGGGGCACCATAAAGGCTCGGGGTGTTCAATAGGGCTAAACAAGTGGATGTGCGCAGTCAATGCACCCGTGACTGCCAAGTCCCATTTCCCGTTATTTCCCTGGCTACTCCATCCTCCCTACACATTGCTGCCTCCCCAAGCAGGTGGTGGCATCATGAGAGCACAGGCATCCTGGGTGACACAGCCAGGGGAACACAGCCATATGGCCATGGTCATTGGTACACGGCCAGGCTCAGCACTTCTCCTGCACTCCTGACTTGCACAAATCCATGTGTCCATGCAAGACTGTCACACAGTTTTGAGCCTTGCTCCCCACCTTTTTGTGTACTTCTCCACTCTGAAAACTCAGAAATGAGTGCTACCTATTGCTCTAAGCAGCAGGACTGTTGGCAGGTAGCATTAGCATGGGTGGGATTACCTCCCTAGGAAGTCCCCAGCAAGTGGCTCCTGTGTCCACTGCTCACAGCAGCCTGAAAGCATGGTGGGAGGTGACCTGCACAGCGCAGTCAGCTCAGGTGTCTGTGGAAACGAGGGCAAGAAGCAGCTCTGCAAGCCATGCAGACCTCACCCACAACAGCCTGGAGCTGCAGAGAGTCCCTTTCTCTGCCACTGCAGTGCTGATCCTTGCTAGGCGCTTGGGTGTCAGCAACAATGCTAAATGGAAGAACTGTACTGTGCACCCACTGGGCGATCTCTGAGCAAGTTATCGTGGCACTTCTTAATGCAGTTGTATGATGGAAATGATGAAGTGTGTCTGTGAGGTCTAACCTCTGGCAAATCTTTTATTTCTGAGTCTTCTTCACTGGTCATTGAATTTTGTTCTGATTTTTAGTTTACTGTCCCATCAAACATAGAAAATGAATTGATCTTCTCTTACAGGACCACCACATGCAGACAGGATACAACACTTGTTTTTAGTCTCTGCATATTGAGCTTGCATTCCATTCAGCACTTTCTGGATGATTTGCCCAGAGAAGCTGTGGGTGCCCCATCTCTGGAGGTGCTCAAGGCCAAGTTAGATGGGGCCCTGGGCAGCCTGAGTTGCTGGGTGGCTGCCCTGCCCACAGCAGGGGGTTGGAAATGGATGGGCTTTAAGATCCCTTCCAGCCCAACCATTTTATTATATTGTGATTTGCTCAGGGACATCCCCTGTCTGACATCACTGCGCTGGAAGCAGCATCAGGAGCTCCAGATGCAGTACATCACCTACTCCATGGTATGACATCATAGGAGTGAGAGAATGGGAACGCATCAGTGCTGCCATTCACCTCCCAGTACTCTGGGATGGGGCAACAGAGATCAGGAAATTAATTACCAAAGGAATTGCAACCCTGTAAGCTGTAAATGTGCTTAGAGTAATTCTTCTAATATTGCCTGCTGCAAGAACTAGCATGGAAACACCACAGCATGGAGGTTCCTGTTCTTTTCCCCAGGAGGCAAAATGGGATCAGAGTTCCTGAGTCCGAAGTTCTTCAGTCTCAGGAGGTTCTGAATGAGAGCACTTAGTGAGGCAAAAGTTGCCAGTCCCTGAGGTTGCCACATGTAACCGTGCATCAGCCCTTTGCCTGTCTTTGCCCAGCTCTTCCAGCTCTCTGTGCCCAGAGGCAAAGCTCTTCTCTCCCTGTGCCATCCATGCTGCAGTGGAACAAGCTGACCCTTCACGTTGCCTCAGTAATGCCAATCTCAGCATCTCCTCACACTGCTTGCTCCACAGAGCAAAAGGTCCAAGGCTTACAGATAACAACTATTGCTGCAAGGTCCCCGCCTCCACCTACTTGTGTGCATGGTCCTGCACCTGCACTTCAAAATTCCTAATTCTAACATAATAAGAAATAGCCCTCATCCTTTTTACTGGGCTTTTTTTTCTTTTTCTTTTTTTCCTTTTCTCCTCCTTTTCTTTTTCTTTGTTTTTCTTTCTCCTTCCTTCCTTCCTTCCTTCCTTCCTTCCTTCCTTCCTTCCTTCCTTCCTTCCTTCCTTCCTTTTTTCCTTCCTTCCTTCCCTCCTTCCCTCCTTCCCTCCTTCCCTCCTTCCCTCCTTCCCTCTTTCCTTCCTTCCTTCCCTCTTTCCTTCCTTCCTTCCCTCCTTCCTTCCTTCCTTCCTTCCTTCCTTCCTTCCTTCCTTCCTTCCTCCCTCCCTCCCTCCCTCCCTCCCTCCCTCCCTCCCTCCCTCCCTCTCCCTTCTTTCTGTCCTTCTTTCTGTCTTTCTTTCCCCCATGATTATTTTTTTTAAACCGGGTACTCTCATTATTTTATTGCAGCTTTTTCTGTGCCCGAATTACAGTCACATTCATGAGCTCTTTTGAAGTTCTTTATTATTATTATTATTTAAACTTTGGTATGCTTCTCCCCCCCCACCCCCCTTTTTAAAGGCCATTTATGTTATGATTAAACATCGCCTTGGAAAAGCAGAACGAAAGTCGTTAATCTATATAGACCTTCAAAGAATCGATACATTGGGGACTTCTGTAGGATTTGTTACACTCCATTTTGTTACAGTAGGCAGCTCCTCTGGATTTGGGCACATGTGTTTCTCTCCCTCCCCTCACCCCCCTCTTTTCCAGCTCCCCCCCAAGAGTGAAAATAAAGTAAAAGGTCTTTCATGGTAAACAAAACCAGCTTATTCTCCACATAGAACACATGAATAGCTGGAAAAAAACTTACAATAAATGGTGCATTTTTTTCTCTGCTGGGTATAGCATTCAAGATCAGTCCAGTATTCAAGAAGCAGTCCATTTTTTGCTCAGCAAGAGAGTTTAGAAAAGAAGCGTGGGGTCTATTCAAGGATCTTTTCCCCCTTCACAATTGCTGGGCTTTATGAAACCTATCTTCCATGCCTTGTCAGAGTATTTCTGGGGACCAATTAGTGCTTTGTTGCAAGGCTTCTTTGCTGAATCTTTGAGCAGCAAGAAAAAGCTCTCTTGAGTCTCCCCTTATTTTGACTATTTCAGTCATTACTCAGTGTAATAATTAATATGACAACTGGACGCTGAAGTTTGTATAGAAACACCTCGGCTGCAGGAGGGAGCGTGCAGTGGGTGGTAACAAGCTACGGATCAGCCCGAGGAGCCACACACACAAGGGGGAAAAAAAGAGGGGGAGAGAGAATAATGAATGAAAAGAAAGAGGGAAAGAATAAAGATAAATAAATAGTTGGCGCAACCCGGAGAAGTATAATACAGACTAGGAAGGAAAAAAAAAAAGGCAATTAGGAGGCGGGGGGAGGAGAGGTGGACGAACTCCATGGAGGTGAACTTATTTTGAAACAGTTTCTGCGTGAACAAAATTTTTGAAAATTTCCTACTTTCAGTGGGAAGAAGAGTGATTTTTGGTGGTGAGTGTTCCTTTGGAGAAGTGATAAGCAGGGAGCATCTGCCTTCACTTCTGCACACTGAATGGACTTACATGTCCCTTCTTGAGAATCCCTTTAAAGAAAGGACTCTGAACGTTAAACTGTGTTGGTGAATAATTGCTGCCCGTCTGACAAGAAAGTTGGGAGAGTTACTCGTGTTGTGTCCTCTCCATGAGGAATGAAGCCCGTGTCCCAGATGAGGAATTAAACCCGACTTTTGACCACGGACAGCGCCGAATTCCTCTCGAAAGGCGTCTTGGGACGAACAGTCGTCACTTCGAAGACATTTCTTAGGCTGCCAATTAGGGCATAATAAATAATTAGAGGTTTTAAGCATATTAGATACAGCTCATGCTAATGAGCTACATCAGGTCTTGTGCTAACCTGAAGTGACAGTTTGCATATAGGGCTGAGAAAAAAAAAAGGAAGGGGGGGGGAAGGGGGAGAGAAAGAAAAAAGAAAAGAAAAGAAAAGAAAAGAAAAGAAAAGAAAAGAAAAGAAAAGAAAAGAAAAGAAAAGAAAAGAAAAGAAAAGAAAAGAAAAGAAAAGAAAAGAGTAAAGGAAAAGAGAAAGAAAGAGAGGGAAGGAAGGAAGGAAGAAAGGAAAGGAAGGGAGGAAAGAAGGAAGGAAAGGAAGGAAGGAAAGAAGGAAGGAAAGGAAGGAAGGAAAAGGAAAAAAGCAGCAGTGGCCACAGCCTCCCCAGTCCCACCGCGTCCCCGTCCCCGGTTCCCCCCAGCCGCTCCCGTGGGTCCCGCCGGGCGCTGCCGCCCCGGCCTCGCAGCCCCTCGTCCGCCGGTGCCCCATTGTGCGTCCACGCGTCCCGCGTCCATCACGGCCGAGGATAAATCAGCCGCGCTGCCCCCGCCTGCCCACTTTTTGGATAGCAAAACTGGGGATGGAGGAAAGAAAGGAAAGGGGTTGGTGGGAGGGTGGATGTTTTCCGGAGCCTCCCCTTCGAGGTGGTAGGAGGGTAGGAGGGGGTTCGGGCCGTAACTGCTGCCGTCTGAGAGGCGGCCCCCTCCCCGGTGTTACGGGGCTTCTGCAGCTTCCTGACCCCCGTCTTCGGCGGCCGCTGCCATGGGGACACAGTGCCACCTCACGGCCACCGTGAGAGGGGACGGGGATGCCGTCCGAAGCACTTAGCAGTGGGCTGCAGGGGTGGGAGGAGAGTCTGGCTGTGCAAGGAGAGAGAAATGTGGCCGGAGGTTTGGTGACCATGGGATGGGAGGAAATTTGGTCTGGTTGGTGTCTAAAGGAGAACCGCAGCACCATGGGAACCTAGCTAAATGCATGCACAACATCTATAAACCATAGAATCATAGAATTATTAAGACTGGAAAAGACCTTCTAGATCAAGTCCAGCTGTCTGCCCATCCCCACCATGCCCACTAACCGTGTCCCTCAGTGCCACATCCACACGGCTGTGGAACACCTCCAGGGACGGTGACTGCAGCACCTCCCTGTGCATCCTGTGCCACTGCAGCGCCACTCTTTCAGAGAGGAAATGTTTCCTAATATCCAACCTGAACCTCCCCCGGTGCAACTTAAAGCCATTCCCTCACATCCTATCACTGTTACCTGGGAGAAGAGGCCAACCCTCACCTCCTCACAATCTCCCTTCAGGTAGCTGTAGAGAGCAATAAGGTCTCCCCGGAGCCTCCAGATTGAACTACCCCGGTTCCCTTAGCTGTTCCCCATCACACTTGTGCTCCAGACCCCTCACATCTCTGTTGCCCTTCTCTGCATACAATCCAGGGCCTCAGTGTTTTCTTACAGTGAGGGGCCCTCACTAAAGGACCCCCTGTCTTAGTCGCATGCATCCACACTGAATCTTCCTTTGGGATTTGTTCAGGAGCTTCTAGGAATGCCTCTCTCTGCTTGATGCTCCCTCAGATTGAGCAGGACACCTGAACCAGGAATTCAAGTATCCACCCACAGGAACGGACATCCCTGCCCAAACCACAGAACACATGGCTCAGGGAAGTCACTGCTCTCAAACACTGACTAAAGGCAGAGAGGGGAGAGAGCACTTTGAAAAGTAGCCAAAGTCCATGGTGCTTTGAACTTGCTTTGTGCTGGCCAGTGAAAGCAGCCAACTTTCTGTGCAAAGAGCCCTTTCAGTTGTGGCTGAGCAGCATGGCCAGAAATAGATGTGTGTGTAGTGTGTTTGTGCCAGGAACGGGAGCATTTTGAAGGGATATATGGGGTGTTTAGGTGGAGGCAATAAAATGGCAAATCCTGGCTAGCAGTGTCACTGTGGGGAAAAGGACCTGTGCTTGGTACACTGAACCAGGGCTTCAAAGGCAGCTCAGGTAATTCGGATTCTGAAACTGTCCAAGGTAACCAGGACTGATGCAATCTTGTGTTCATACTGCAATGACACTGGCTTGATCTGTGGAGCAAATATCAGCCTGCATGCACACACAAACGTGCACCTTTGCTCCAGAACAAGAGAATTTGGGAATTCCTTCTGGTAAGAAGCTTTGCTTCCTGCAGTCCCAGTGCTTTGTGCTACCAAACTTGTGGAGGTTCTCACTGATTAAACAGAGAACTGATGGCAATGCACTGGTGAGGTTATTATGATTAATAGCAATAAATTAGAAACTTGCAATATAAGCAGAAAAAAGAGAGAATGGTAGAAGTCAAAAACAGCAAATTGGAAAGATTTGGCATGCACAGTACTTTGCATACTCAGTGTTTCACTTTGCCTTGCAATTACTGTCAAGGTAGAGTGAGCAGAAGGTCTAAAACACAAGAAAAGGGGAAGGATGGGAGAAAGGAAGAAAAGTAAATGCACGTAAAATCCACAAAGAAGGGGGAAAAAAAAGGATGATCAAAGGTTTGTGAAAGGAGAAAGAAATAAAGAGAGAAAAAGGAAGGCAAAAAGAAATGACAGAAGATGTGGTTTATGACTGTGGATGGAACAGACATTTTGGCCAGCTCTAAGACACACATCTAAGTTTTTAAAAATCTAGTTGAAAAATATACCACATAGAGAGTCATGGCCTGTGGGAAGAGCAAGGAACAAATGAGATGAATTGATGGAAACTGTCCTGCCCTACATGGGGAGTATTGTAATCAATGCTATTGACAAACCTAATCTCACCACCTTCAGGTGACCTCCAATGTTTCTGTCATGAACAAGGCCATGCCAGGTGTTGCACAAACATAGGACACAGAATGCTGCCTCCTGTAGTGAACTCATTGACTGAACAATTCAAAAATATTAGGTTTGATGCTGCTGGCAATTAGGAAGGCTAACCTCCCTTTCTACTACTGGACCATCTCTCCTTGTCCCAGTCTGCTAACTCAGTGTCAACAGTGCTTACCATGTTGTGTGCATCACATCTGGCTGCCCACTTGGACCTGCTAGCCTATACCATAGGCTTCTAGTCACTTTCTACCCACCATTTTCTACACATGTGTATTGCCAAAGAGTGAACAAACAAGGACACTCTCCGAAAAATGGATATATTTGTGCTCCAAGGCAGTGAGTTACTACAGATGCACATCATACAGCAGATAATATAGATTGGGTATAAGGAAAAAGCATTCTATGATAAAGGTGGCAAGGCACTGGAATAGGTTGTCCAGAGAGGTGGTGGATGCCCTATCCCTGAAGACACTCAAACTCAGGCTGGAGGGGCTCTGAGCAACCTGATCTCCCTGTTCATTGCAGAGGGATTGAACTAGATGACCTTTCCAACTCAAAAAATTATTTGATTTTTATGATTTCAGTGGCTGGTTTCTGAGTCTTTGGTCATGGTGCTGAACATGGGCTTGGACTAGGATGCCTGCAAGTGGATCCCTATTGTGATGCTGATCAGATTTGATAGTTATTGGATTTCATATTTACAAACAATTCATATCATGTCTTTGCAAAAATTCACCATTCTGAATTCTCTCTAGTACATGCAGTAGGGACTCCCTCATGTCTAAAGCAATCTTGAAGAGCTGATTCTTCTGTTCCATGGAACAGAGTAATGAAGCTCTCTACTATGTTCATCACAAAAATGTAGCAAGATTACCTGCCTTGACATAGCTTGTCTTAGTGGGGACTCCATCTTTCCAAATAGCAAAATAGACCTTGACCAGTTGTTCAGATTTTTTTCATTTATTCCACCTGTCATCTTGTATCAATCTATAATTTTCAATCATTATCTCAAAGGGAAGAACCCGGATTACAGGAAGGTCCATACAAACACACGGAAGAACTTCTTTCCTGTGAGGGTGAGAGAACATTGGAACAAGCTGCCCAGAGAGGCAGACTCCTGTGGAGATATTGAAGACTCATTTGGATATCTACCTGCTGTAGAGAAAATGCTTTATCAGAGAGTTGAGCTCAATGATCTCCAGAGGTCCCTTCCAATCCCTACAGTTCTGTGATTCTGTGATTCCCTTCAGTGACGCTTTCCAAACCAAGTCTGGGCTGATTTGTATCAACTCTTTGTGCTAAACCTTTTCCAAATTTCTTCTTACCCTTGCGGTTCTCCGAGGCTGACATTTCATGCAAGGAAGGACACATACACCTTTTGTAATCCTTTTGCATCCTCCATTTTTTTTTTTTTCCTTTATCTTCTTCACTTTTCCATGTCCAGACACATTTTCCAGTGTAATATTTACATGGCTGACTCCTGTCCCATGCTTCTTTTATGTTTGGCCTCTGTTATCTCGTTGCCTGGTGTAACAAGTTGTGCCTCCTGCTCTCTGACCTCTTGGATGCAGCTCAAAAGGCCCTGCTAAAAGACAAACATCCCAGCTGTTGTGCCGTGCCACATGTCTGGCATGCAATGAGAGACTCCTGGAGAACATCTGATCTCCGATCATGTGGAGTGATCCCTGATGGGCAGCCCACCTGATGCTGAACACACACAGCCACAGGAAGGCTGAGCCAGAGACAGAGCACAGATGTGCAGGAATGAAAGTTGTGGCTGAATCAGGAGAAGGAGGGCTGCTAATTCAATGCATGTTGCTCATCTCCAGCGGGCACAGATAAAAACAATATGCTGGAGTGCTCTTATGGGGACCCGGGGGGGCTGGCTAGTCCATATGCCAGGACAGGGTGGGTGGGTGGGGGGTGTGGAGTGAGAACGCCCCTTTGGCACAGCATCCAGGGGAGGGAGCTGGAGAAGAGAATGGGTTTGCCTTTGCTTGCTCCACTTTAAATACCTTTGCACACAGTTCTGGCCACCGTGGTAAGGTCAGAAGCTTTACCTGCAGTCTCTCTGTGTGAGCATTGTCTCCTCTTCACCATGGATGCACAGCACTGCAAGATGAATGGAGACTCCTTCCAGGTGAGCAGCCTCTCTCTAACCCTGACCCTAACTGCAACCCTAACCCTAACTGTAACCCTAAGCCCACGTGCTTGGAAATCTTGTTCCCTGCTCTCCAAGATGCCCATGGTGGGAGAAAATAAGGTGCATGTCTCATGCTTTGCAGCCCTTGGTTGCCACTGTTATCCCTTTTGGCAGCTGGTGGTGTTGTGCTCACAGACATGCAGTGGGAATGAAAATGAAAACATTACAAAGGGGAAAGGAAGGAGAGATGACAGAGAATGGACAGAGGTCCTTGCATATATGGCAAATAGAAGAAGAAGCAGAAAAGACTGGCAGCTAATTAGAGGTCTCTTAAACCCGAGTAAAGAAAGCAAGCTGTTAAAGTGAAGCAGCTGGAGTTATGTGCAGAGCTATTTGTTAGCTTTTTGCACTCTGACAACTTTTTTGTGACTTTGAACCCTTTGTTTTGGAAAATTCAGGAAAATTCTGAAATCCATGTCTTTTGGTTATAGGCACTGTAGTTACCGCAGGAGCAAGTGATGTTAACTTGAGGACGGCATAGTTAATTATTAGGACAACATTTTGTCCTGCACAATGCCTCTGATGGCAGAAAAAAACTTCAACACGTGGAAAAAGAGCTTCATTTTCAGAAAGTGTCCTTAGGGATGGAGCAGCCAAGGAAGCTTGGTTTCCTACTGCTTTGTGTGCTGAGGTTGAATTTCCCCCCCAGAGTTGCTAGCCGTTCACCATGTTACTTCTCCAGGTTCTTTAATTGCTTGGTCATGGTGAGATCTGTGGGAGCTGAGCATCTAAATGAGAAAATGGACACTTAGTGGCTTGGAAACTAGTTCCGTTTTCAGAAGTAACTGAGGAATCTTATTTTCTCTGAAATATCTTTTTCCCTTTCTTTTCTCTACTATTACATCTACTACCTCTGGAACTTAAGACAGAGAGGTGAAAGTTTACTCTCTCTGAAACTGCAGGCAAAACTTTCTTTAACTTCAGCAGTTGTGGAATTTGCTCTGAAGGGCTTTACTTAACCAGCTTGGAAATGGATTAGAAGGCTGGCAGGTCTGTGTTATTGTCCTCCAGTACAGCCATGTGTATTAGAAAGGCAATGCCTGTGCCAAGTAGTTAATGAAAAACTTAGATTTGTATTGCACTCAGGCAAACTGTCCTTGCATCTACACATTACTGATGTAAGAAATAGTGCTAGGTCCAGAAATGGATGTACCTATTCATCAACTTGTTCTTATTTTACTTCCTGGGAAGAGACTTAGTTGATATTTTTTTTTTTCCACACAACATTTATAGATCACATATAGCAGAATTTCAGTGACTATGAAACAATTTTTTTCAACTCTCAATCATCATCGCAGAAGTAAAAGAGTAGAATTGACCCAAAACTGCAATTAGTCTCTGTATGAGGATGAAAGACAAGAAATCAGAATGAGAACTGAGAATGGATAAACTGTAATCAGCAGTAAAATATACGTATATGTAGTACAAAAAGTTCAGCAGTAGATTTGGGTGCCTGTATTTATATGTTGGTTCCAGTATATGTTGCCTGAACATATATATATTGACAGATAGATAAAATCTGGGTAACAGTCAGGAAATCAATCATTTTAATCTTCCTTCAACTTGCACTGAAAGCCTCTACCTCTGTGGACAGACTCAAACATGCACTAATTTTTGAACTAAGACTTCCCAGTGAACTACATTCAGATGCAGATGTGCAAGAAGTTAATGTGTCATCATGTTTGCAGAATTAGTGCTCAGTCCCTTCTGCAAAGGGGCTGACCTTATTCTTAAGCACTAACATAAACTAATTTACAGGAGTGGGAAAATGAGTGAAAACAGCCTTAAAGTGTCTATTCTCAGCAAATCCATGCTAGTCACCAATAAGAATATATCTGCCTTGGAAAGAAGTCTTCTGGGGCACTGAAGGTAATCTTATGGTGTAAAGAAATCTATTAATATCAAAATTACTCTGGAAACGAAACCAGGTAGAGAAATCTGTTGTTGCTCTTTGGCAGTGAATACTTACATTACCAGCAGCTTAAAAGACAGACCAAAGAATCAGCAATTATGTATTTTACAGAAGAAGATAATTCATTATAATGCTGCCTTAGGACATGTAGTCCCACCAAGAGCTTTATGGTTTCCAAGCAGCTGGATTTCATTATTAATGTCTACTACAAATACTGCCTTTGCTATTTTTAAGGACAATATAGGGAACTGAAACCCTTTATACTCTGATTTATATGTTAAATTTAGCAATAGCTATAATGAGGACAGATTCTGGCTGAAAATGTAGATCCTAATACGGAAAATTGGAAGGATAGATACCTTGAGTTGGGTTTTGACCTAGGACTTGTTACATCACACCTCTGTGTGTTACAAATGTTTGGTGTGATCTTTGAAATGCCATCCTGACATCATGCCCTCAAGGCCAGCAGAAGTTAAAAAATACAAATAAGGTCTTGCTGTGAGTTCCAAAAGTTTGTGGTGGTTGTACTTCAAATTACACTGATATTAGAAACGTTAAGCAACTCAGTGTTGCTCTGTTTTATCCTGAGTACTAATGAAACGGAAGCCAGGAGGTGTTTCACTGTAGCTGAAACCAAAGTAAAGTTATATTTCCAGTGTCCTCTGAGCTTGATACTCTTGAGAAGTAAAGCAGGGCAGAAATGGAGTGAGGCTGTTTTCATTTTTTACTACCTTCCTCACACATGGGACTTAATTTGAGAGAATATATTGTGTATCGCTACCATCATAAACAAGGGCATCCCCAAAGCAGTCCTCTTTCTCCTGGAAGCAACAGTTGTTTAAATCCTATTTAAAAGATCTTTATGTTCTCCTTATGTTGCTAATGCAGTGCAAAAGAGCAGTGGAGAAAAGCAAAACCAACTCCTGGGGTGAATTTAACAATTTTCTTTCTTGTTTCTTCCAGGAGTCCATGTACATTGAAGAGTCCTCAAACAAAAATGGTGTGATTTCTTTGATTTTCTCTTTGAAAGAAGAAGTTGGGGCACTGGCTAAAGTTCTGCGCACATTTGAGGTAAATATTTTTCTTCAAGAGACCCAACCAGGTCTTTGTTTTTTTCCTATTGCGGGAGCATTTGCTCTGCATGTTCTCAATTCTATTTGATTGCCACTGTGGCATTCATTTTTTTTCTGGAGTTGAAAACACTTGAAGTCCTGGAACAGGACTTGCCTTTTTAAGCTAAAAGCTTGATTTCAGGATTTTCATTTAAAACCTTTTACTGGCGTGAGGGTAAAAATAAAATGCTTTTTTTCCCCTACGTTTAAGGAGGAAGTATTTCATTGCAAGAGCTAAAGTAAGAGGCAGAAGTGAATTGGACAATAACCTGAGATTGACATTTGAGTAGGTACATCTGTAGCGAAGAAAGGCAAATACAGCCTGAGTATGAGCCATGTGGAATGAAGCATTTCTATGTGGAGGAGTAACTATCCTCTAAGCTCCTGTTCATCTCAGTAATCTGACATAAATGAACTCACCACCTCTCCCTATTGGTAGTTCCACAGAGAGAGTAGGAGGGTACCTCCAAAACAGTATCAGAAAGGCAGTGTTTTGCAGTTTGTTCACTCCCAACATAGGATCTTGTACTGGCTTATTTGGAAAGCTTTATGGGAAAAAAGAACCATTTACCTTCCAGGACACTGTGTGTCTGTTTATTCTTAAAGAAAAATTTCCCAGATGTCATGGATGCTGTTTAATAAGCATGAAATCCTTGCAATTCAGAATGGTTATGTTGCAATACATATAGTTATGTACTCTGTGCTCCCAAGCAAATACTCTCTGCTCGCAAGCAAATACTCTGTTACATTGGTTTTGCAACTTAAGGAAAAACAAACAACACATTATCATGTGTTTGTTGTGTCTGAAGGCAGTTCTTTCTGTAGAACACTGTAAGTTGTGGCAAGCATACTTTCCATTCATAAGCTGAATTGACAAAGAAATGAAATATTTGTGTTCTACTACTACAGATGAAAAAAATTATAAATTATATACCATATTTGACTCATTAAGATGAATTGGAATTCATACTAATAAGAACAGACCTTGCCTAAAACTGTGAATTGACTACTGCAACTCAGTCCTGCAAAATGTCTGTATGTTAGCAGCATGTATGGCTTCTAACGAACTAAGGAGGTCTGATGATATTCTGTCATTAAATGCATTACCATCTTCAAAGCAAATTATTAGCATTTTTAAAGGAAAATTCTGGTATGGGAAGGAGATATGTAGTTGCCTATCGGCTGTAACATTTCTAGCCCCAAAGCAGGTACCTAAATGAGGCCAGCTAAATCATGGCTTTCAGTCATGACTCTCATGGCAGCCAAAAAGACAGAAATTCAGCTAAAGATGCCAGCACTTTTGAGTAGGTGGATTGATGATTGGACTAGATGCTTTTAGTGATCTTTTTCAATCTTATTGATTATGCAATTCTATAATTCTTTGACTAGTATCCCAGTGAGGTCAATTCTTTCTCTGAAAATTTACAACCTCCCCCCAGCACCAAGATTTACAGAAGACCTGGCATAGGTGCTCTTATTCAAGCTTTGCACCCTGTTGGCAACTCAGTAAAGAAACTGATGGATCTCTCCTTGTGTAAGAGTGAAGGGTCTTTATGTCTGAGGCAACTTCTTCTATTCCATTCCTGCTTGATAAAAACAGCTGTCAGATTTGAATTAGTGGTAGGAGTAGGTCCAGAGCCACTGTTGGTGGGCTCTTCTGTAGACTGAGACCCCCCACCTTGTCCCAAGAGATGGTTGTGGCCTAAGGACATGTGTCAAGTTGGTCTGAGAGTAGTGCTACAGAGAGGAGATGTGGGTGCGGCTCTTCTGTCTGTTTCTGCCTTGTGTAGCCATATGAAGTGGGAAAAAAAGAAAACAAAACCCCTCCAATATGGGATCAGACTGTCCCCTAGAGCATCAGCACTGCTGCAGCTGACAGCCTTTGCTGTGGTTTCATCTGACAGGTAGTTGGTCACCACACAGTAATTCACTCACTTCCCCCCACTTCTTGGTGGGATGGGAGAGAGATTAGGGGAAAAAACAAAGTAGAACTCGTGGGCTGAAATAAAACTATTTACTAAAATAGAGAAAAGGATTATAGTTATGACTCTCTCTATGTAAATATATGAATATGTATAACCAGTGATGTACAAACAATTGCTCTCCACCCACTGACTGATGTCTAGCTAGCCCCCCAGCAAGTGAAAGAATGCCAGATTAACTCCCATCCCCTTCAAAACTCCTTCCACATGATGTCATATGGTATGGAACATCCCTTTTGCCAGTTTCAGTCAGGTGTCCTAATTCTGTTCCCTCCCAGCTCCTTGGGCCCTTCGCTGTGAATAGCCTCAGCTCTGTGCAACACTGCTTAGCAACAACTATAAACATCGGTGTGTTATCAACGTTGTTTTCCTTCTAGGACTAAAGCATAGCATCATACCAGACACTCTGAAGAAAGCAATTCCGCTAGCTAAAACTAAGACACCTTTGCAGAGAGATGAACCTCTGCAGCCACTTGCATCAGGGTTGGCTGCACATGGTGAATTCAGAACCCCCTGGTCATTACAAGGCTGTATCTGCCCAGGCTGTCAAGGCTTCTCTAGGAACTTGGGTGTGGGAATGCAGGAGGGGATCAGCGCTCTGCCCTTTTCTCCTGCCAGCTGGCTCTTGGGAGTACAAAAGAGGCTGTGTGTCTGGCTTTGAGGATTTCGCCTCTTCTCTAGCCAACCTATAAATCTACACTGAGCCTGGAAGGGAGGCGATGGCAGATTAAAATTCTGTAAATATGAGAGTACTGAAAAGAAATCTTCTCTCAAGAGAGGGAGGCTCAGAAGTAAGCTTCTGATTGAGAAATCAGGACATTAGAAGATACTTGAAAAAATGAGAGACCTAGCAGAGCCACCAGCAGCCAGGCTGCTTTTCTCCATGTAGATCTCCATGTGGACAAGAGCAGGTTCTTTCTCCTTGGTTTAAGAGCTGGATCAAAAATTTCTGTTATGTTGCAAGGACTGTTATATCGTTCTCGCATCCCTGCCTAGGATGCAGAAGCATCTGCTCACATCCAAGCTCACATCCTGCACGTGCTCCACTCTCACGCTGGGCTGACACTTGACCAGGTGTTAGCTTCTATTCCAAGTTGGCCTTCAGTGGAGCAGGAGCCTCAGGGGAGCTGCTCTGTTCTCAACCTGGCCCTGCCCCTGGGTAATAGAAGGCCCAGAAACAATGTCACATCAAGCACCATGGTTGGTCCCTAGTCTAGATCGGGAGCAAAACTCCAAAAGAAGCCCCAGTGAAAAGTTCTCAGATCCAAACACAGCTCAGATGAACTAGCTAAGCCTTCGCTGTGGGCCAGGGTGGACTGAAGGTAGGGACACCTCCTGTGCAGGCAGGTGAAGGCACAAGGCCAGTTACTACAAAATGCTCGTGTCACAGAATTACATCCTGGAACTGTGACACCAAATTTAAGGAATTTTAATGTGTCTTGAAAAATTGTTGGTTAGTGTTCATCCTACTCAAACATCCTTCAAAATTGCTCATGCAGCTGACAGAGTGCCACTTGCTCTCACATTTACTTTTGGCTCAGAGACCAAAGCTCTTGTTTCTGTTAAGGTCTTAGTTGCACAGAAGATGGTGGCTGTGGTAACAACTGTTGCTTTACATGTGTAGCTTAAGTTTTTTTCCTAAGGAATCTCCTCTACGTGCTCAGCTCCTTATGTCTGCTGACTTTATGTTCAAAATCTTCTTTATTATATCCACTTTTCTTCGTATTTGCTTGTTTCATATTCTCTCTAATGTATTTCAGTGTTAGGTCAATGCACAACTTCCAAAAAACACCCAAAAAAATGCAATAGCACCTCGATCATGTCCAGCAATATTCAAATCATTAATCCACTTTCTTTTCACACTACCTTCTCTGTGTGTATATTGGCATGTGGCAAAGATTTGCTTTTTGGTTAAATAATCAAAATCAATTATTTTCACTTGAAAAGCTTCTTAATACATAGTCTTTATCCATTTCACTGTGGATGCAGCTTCCCTGCGGGCTCTGCTTGGAAAATCTTCTGTCTTCATTGTAGGCTTGGGAGTAGTGTGCAGACAGCATAAGCTCATCATCAGAATCACTATACTCAATTTTAATAGGACCTTCAGTATATTATGGCACTACTGAATAAACTGATTTCTGGCTTATGGTATTTGAAAAGACAATAGCTAGGAAGCCAAAACTGGTATAAACATCTCAATCTAAAATAGAACATCCCATATAAGCAAAATATGATGCTTAAAATCAGGAAGACAGAATAGTCATTGTGGAGTTCTGTTTCTATTTTGATTCACTGGACAAATAAAAAAAATACAGAATGTAAATTCAGGCCACAAAAATCTCCCAGATTTCTTATCAGTGTTGAAAAAGCAAAGCAGAGAATGTGGAGTTCAATCCAATGTTACACTTGATGGGAATGTTCATCTTCTCTATAGTGATAAATGCCTATTGAAATTGAGATCACTTTTTAAAACAACAATAAGGTGCCTTTTGAAAAAGAAAAAAAAAAAAAAAAAGAAAAAAAACAACAACCTGGCATTACCAAACTTGAATATATCAATAAAAAATATCAAAACTAAACTTTTCATTATATTAATAAAGGAATTTATAAATACATTTTTTCCTCTGAGGTTCTCTGATGGAATGACAATAATAGTAAACATTTCAGCAGTAAAATGTGTCAAACACTGTGTTGCAAAATATTACAAATTTTTTCAACCCGCCCTTAGGTGGGAGACTCCCATCTTCTCTTCCCTGACATGACCATCTCAAAACTGGAGCAGGTGTTCAGTACAGGGTCCAGCTTTCAGCTGTGTTACTCCCAGTGAGTAGGGCTCTAGCTCACAACCCCATTGATCTGCACCAAGCTCTCAGTGTAAATTACTACTCATTGGAGGAATGGCTGGGAGTGACAGGCTGCACTAAACAAGACCCTGAGCTTTCAGAGCCAGCAAAGATGACTCTGCTTTTTTTTCTTT